TCTGTCTCTCACTCTCTATTGGCTCTCTTCCACTTAAAAGGACCCTTATGATTACAATGGGCCCCACCTGGATAATTCAAGACAATCTCCACATATCAAGGTCAACTGATTAGCAACATTAGTTCCATCTACAATCTTAATTCCCCCCTTGCCCTGCAATGTAACATGATCACAGGTTCTGGAGATTATAATGTGGACATTATTGGGGGGCCATTGTTTTACCTACAACAGGAGGGAAGGTCATTAAATAGGGTTAATGTCACTGACAGGGCATCTACGTGCATGGAAAGCATACTGGGGTCATACGAGGGTACAGGTGTATCATTTTATTACTGCTCTAGAGTTTGAAAATTGGCCATGCTTATTTTCAAGACTTATCTTTTGGCTTGGCCACAGCTATTATGTTCATCTACATCTAACCATACAGAAAGCTGCTCCATGCCTGGAATTTTCAGTTGCATAAATGTCTGTTTGGGTTACTTTTCTCTAACTGAAAACTTAAACATCTTTGACTACTATAAGAATGTCCACACCCTGCAGTTCCATTTAAACATCAATTGTTATGTTATGAAATAGACTTTCGGTACCGTTAGTTCAGTTTAGTTCCTAATAAAGACTTACTTTTACCTAAATTTAGAAGTAATGCTGTGTCGTGAAAAGCACAAAGATTTTGGAACTAAGATAGTTCTGGACTTATATACTAGCCTAAATAGAAGATAAACCTGAATCTCAACCTTGACTCTGGCATTTACAAATTCTGAGTTCTTATTGCTAAGATGACTACACAAAGCAGTAATAGGACATGGAGACATTTCTGGCACTAATTGTTGAATTTCAAGACGTACCTGAATGTGGCTCAGAAGTTAGGAATAGCATGTATTAGGTATCAGAATGCAAAGAAATATACAAAATTAGGGCATTAAAAGAAGTATATGGAAGCTGAGAGGGAGAGCCAGGCAAGACAGCCATGGAGTGGAGGTTTGATGATGGAACATACCTTTGGATTATATTACCTATTCAATGACAAGAAAATGAGTTGCATTTAAATGACAGGTGCTTTCATCAAAAAATGAAACATATTTATACCATGTGCTAGAACAAGAGTCTTCAAAAGGCGAAATTCAGAGAAGTAATGCTGGGGGTGGAGGGAATCTGAACAAAAAAACTACTGCCTGCCCAATATTGTCAATAAAGAGAAAGCAAAGTGACCAGTAAGACTCCAATGAAAAGATGACTACAACCCAAGAAGGAACAGAATGGAGTTATTAAGAAGCAGAAAGTTGTCAGAAGTTTACACATGGGACAGACTTGGCGAAACTTACACACACACACACACACAGGATTAGCAGAATTCCAGAAAAAAAGGCAGTGGTAATCATCTCTAAGTCCAAATAGAGCTCTCTATAATCTTTGAGATCTTACTGGAAGATGGAGAATTTCAAATAAGACTAGAAAATTGAGATTTGGGTATATGCAAGGGCATAAATGCAGCTTAGCATTGCTTTAATGATGTATGGGATGCTGTGGGGATTGCTTAAACGGGTCCCACTTCTTCAGCCTGTCACACTGCTATACTCTCGCACCATGAGAGGGATGATCTCTTCTATTCTTTGACTCTGTACTCAGCCATGAGATTTGCTTTGGTTAATTAGATGTTGGAATATATTTTGCAAGCAGCGTCTTGCCTTGCATACTGAGCCTTGTTCATGCTTGTATTTTTATTATCACCATGAGAAGGTTATTTCTAGAATAGTGAACTGGTCCAGGGAGAAGGGTAAGAGATATGAGGAGCAAGTTCCTCTTGCCAGCTTCCAGATGGCCCCCAGACGCGGAACAAGAAATCTGAAAACAGTGGAGATATCTAAGGCAAATCCAATGTAGATCACTGGTCTCTAGAGACATATAAGAAATAAACATCTCTGGGGTGCCTGGGTGGCTCAGTCTGTTAAACGTGCAACTCTTAGTTTCAGCTCAGGTCATGATCTCACCGTTCATGAGTTTGAGCCCCGCGTCGGGCTCTGTGCTGACAGTTCGGAGCCTGCAACCTGCTGCGGATTCTATATCTCCCTGTCTCTCTGTCCCTCCCCTGCTTGCACTCTCTCTCGCTCTCTCAAAAATAAACATTAAAAAAAATTAAAATAAAAGAAGCATTTAGTGCTGTCTATCGCTGAGTTTTGTGGTTGTTACACAATAAATCTGACTGGTACAAAAAGCCTTATTTGAAGTTAGCTGTAATGCTTAATAGGTGGTAGAGGCACAAGGGGTTAGTTATATATATATATATATATATATATATATATATATATATATATATGTGTGTGTATCTGCCATACACAATGTCTTTTAACATTTAAAAGCTTAAATATGTGGCTTTGATGTTGAGTCACATATTGGCTCAAGTTGCTGGGTGCATCTCCCACTGTGTCCTCCCAGATCGCTTCAACAACTAAACCGAATCTCTGGCTTCTCATGGGAAGCATATCCACACATCCAGCACCCCGTTATGGCTGCTGCCAGGGGAACTGGCTCTGGAGCTGGCAGGATTCGGCACCCACAAGTTCCTAGGGACTGCACAAAATAAAGACGTGGTTCTGGATGTGCACACAAAGACTCCCAGCAACTAGTCCCTTTGCTTAGCACAAAGTAAGCGAAAACACCAGCTTCATTTCTCCCTGACAGGGGTTAATCTATCTATTGATCCTATCTACTCCTATCCATTGATAGGAGTCAATGTCCTGATTCCCCAACTACTGCACGAAGGCCAGGCCTGCCTCTGGGAGCTTAAGGGGAAATTAGTAGTTCTCCCGGGGCTTGGACACGTTCCCAAGACGTAAACACACTGACACGTCTTCACATACCGTCATCTGCTGGGAGCCCCAAGAACAAAGATGGTGGATGGACAATCACAAAGGTTTGAATGGCAACAATGAGCTTGGGCCAGGCTGATTGAAAGTTCTCAAATAAACAACCTAACTTATACTTCAAGGAACTAGGGAAAAAACTAATAAGGAGCATAAATGAAAACTAGAGACTATACAGTCAGTAGGGGAAAAAAATCAATGAAACTAAAAATGGTGTGTTTTTTTTAAGATAAATAAAATTGACACATCTTTGGCCAGACTCAGATAAAGAGACAAGGCCCAAGTTAAAAAAAATGAGAAATGAAAGAAGACATACCTGTCAACTACAACAGTGAGAATTTGCCAGTATAGTACTTTGCAGACATACTGGTGCTTAAACTTTCCCAAAGGATCATTAACAGGCCATTAAAAAGTACTAAATTGGGAATATACAGCCAAAAAGGAGGGGACCAGAAAGATCAGGAAAAGTCAAGTTAGAGTAAATAAAATATCAACTAGAGAAATGGTTTAGGATATGTGTTACTATTGATAACTTACGTGTGCCTACTTGGCAAGAAGTGTGGATCAATCATTCAAATCTAAAGACCAAAGGACATAAAAACGACAACCATGTAAGATAGTGAGCCTATTCACCTTCCACTGCCCGTTTCACCTGATGGAAATCCTTCATCAGCTCTAGAGCAGTAATGAGTAGGAGTTAGAGCCTCATGACTACTCTTATTTGCATAGTCCTTTCCCACTGGAACAGGACATCACCTAACCATGTTAGGAGTAGGTGGCTGCTATTTTTCCCATGGGCTCAGGATTTTGATGGAGTTGACCAGAGCTGGGCAAAAGCGGGGGTGGGGGGGGGTGGGGGGGTGGCCGGCGGCGGGGAGCTGGCAGAGAAACAGTAGAAGAGAATGAGTCCATGTAGTTTTATACAGTTGGAAATTCAAATTGGGAAATGGAATGCCTTCGGTGACCCCCAATACATCCATTACCTTTTCAATTTTCAGAAAGAGTACAGTATACTTGTGTGCTAAAATTACACATTTTCTCCTGGTTCTTAGAGTTGTCATTTATCTTACACTACTCTTCAGAATATCTTATATTTTCAAATATTCTATATCTTGAAGTTGTCTTAAATGACTTATAATCAGTTCCTCTAAGTGCTGCGAACACAGTGTTGCTTGGGTGGTGTTCGTACAGCTAAGCAGAAGAAATTCTAGCTGGGGACACACATTTACATTTCACAAATTTCATGCCACAGAGCGGCATCATGTTATTTGCACCAACCATATCATCGGGATATACACAAACAGGTCTCTAGGACACATACACTCTGCTTGGAAGAGTCACTACCGCCATTCACTGCAGGGTGAGATGCGGGCTATCTGAACAAAGCTTTTCAGAACTAGAGTATACTCTGAAGGTTTTGATCAGAAGTTACACATCTGAATAATCTTTAAATACAGAATTTGTCTATGATGAAAAATGCAGTGCTTACCAGTTAAAATGGGAGATCAGTTAATGAAGTGTGCATCATTTAAACACTAGAAGAGTATGTGGCTATGGGACATACACTATGTTACCCTAAGGTTATTCAGAGTGGGTATGTTAGTGGTATTCCAACCTTTGGAGCCTGGCCACACGTTACAGGTGCATCCCCAAGCAGAAAAGGTAGAATCTCCCATACCTAATCGGGGACTTTTCATGGGTTTACCTGGGTGGGAATATGATATTGTATATGTGTAATATGTCCTGCCCAAAAAGAGAAGTATATATGCGTATGTGTGTGCGTTTAGTTTTGTTTTGCTTAAGTGTTTCTGTCACTTACAACTGAAAGAGTCCTAATACATAAGAAAATCCATAGCCCGAGACTGTGCTCCTTTACAGTTATAGGGTGTTAACAAGGAGACTTTGTGCCCGAACTGGCTTATGTAAGGAGTTCATCTTGCCCTAATATTAGGGTTAATTTTATGAAACAAAGGGTGAGATTCCCGGCTAATAACCGGATCACATAGCAGACAAACCTGAGTTCGACCCTTACAAACTATGTTCTCTCGGGCAAATTACACGATTTTATTTAACTTTCTTTCTTCCCTTTAAAACCAAAATACTATCTGTTCGCGTGTCTATATATAAGACATTGTGTATGGCATATATATATAAATAACCCCTTGCGCACCTACCACCTGTTTAGCTCGAAGTGCTAAAAACCAGTACGAGCATTAAACAGGAAGGGGCGGAGCTCCAACGGCTGCCGGGACCAGGGCGCCGCTGGGGAGGAAGCTGCGGCAGCGGGAGGCGCAGGTCAGTCCCGCGGCCCGTTAGCCGCCCCGCTACGCCCCTCGCCGTCCCGGCCGCGGGTCGGAGGTCTGCAATCCCGGGGTGACCCTCGGCTCTATGCACTGGGGGAGCGGCGACACCAGATTCATGGCCACCGCGGCGGCTCCGTCTTCCTTGGCCCTCAGCGCCGCCAGCAGGGCCGGGGCCCCCAGCTCCTACGGAGTCTTCTGCAAAGGGCTCTCCCGCACCCTGCTCGCCTTCTTCGAGCTGGCCTGGCAGCTTCGAATGAACTTCCCGTATTTCTACGTCGCGGGCTCGGTGATCCTCAACATCCGCTTGCAGGTACACATCTAGTGCCGCGATTACGCTGCCGCCATCCCGGCCAGGACATGGCGGACTCCCAGGAGGCCTGGCGGCGGCGGAAGAAAGCTGCGAGCTCGGAGCTCTGGAGTCTCGCGAGAGGCGCGAGCGCTCTGTGCGGCTGCGCTCTTCGTTCCTAGCGGGGCTTCGCGGGCCGGGGCGGAAAGCGGGTGGCGGCTGGAGAGAGGGCTGGAGAGAGGAAGTGCGCGCTTTTCCTGGATGGCAAAGAACTTCCGTTAAGGCCTACGACAATATTTAAGAAGCTTTGCATCCTAAAAAGCAGGGCGAACGTGGTGCATTGGAAACAAGGGCGGCTACTGAAGTTTTCAGAAAAAAGTATTTTTTAATGTACAGGCTCACGGTCCAAATTAAAACAAATTTCGGGAAGGTGGGATTGGATTGTTACCAAGACACTGAATGACTACGAAGCTGACGATCTTAAAGATATACGTGGAAGGCAGATATATTCAACAAGAGAAAAACAATGACAATCTGAAATCTTCAATGAAAAAAAGCACAACTGTACAGGAAAAGCATCCTTCTAATATCAAACAATGCAAAATGCTGGACTTTGAACAGAGGGTTGGAGTTTTAGAATATGGACTCTATTTCAGTGTCCCTGTAGTTCAAGACCTTGGAGCCAAAGAAAAGGAAATCCAGTCATACAGAGCACTGCCCTTGGCTACTTTGCGAATAACCTTTACATAATCATAATAATGAATGTATATGATGTTTATGGTTTTTATCTTTTGAGAGGATACGTAATTATGGTTAAGGTAGAATGCAAATGTTAACAGCTTTGGTAATGGAAAAGTACAGTTTTCAAGTAGGGTTGTTGAAAGGGGAGGAGGGAAGGTATATGGAATGCTAATGGTGTCCTTATAAAGTAGGAAGTTTAGAGATGCGGTCTGTAGTTGACGTGGAAAAGAAGCATTTGATTATTTCAAGAGTAAATAGCATAAAGAGTATGCCATAAAGATGCTAAAGTCGTAATATAACTATATTAAAGAGGATGGGAGTAGGGGAGAATGGCTTGAATTCAAGAAGAAATGCCTAAAGATAGAAACTTAGTTGGAATGTCTCAAAACAAACAAACAAAAAACCAGAGTACCAGATGTGTTTGAATATAAAGACAAGAGATTTAGTTTTTCAGCACCTGGGGATGAATTCATGATCTGAGGAATTTTTTAAAATTAAAGAAACTTAAGGAAAATTAAGGGCTCCCGGGTGCCTCAGCCGGTTAGACATCCTGCTTGGCTCAGGGCTTGTGAGTTCAAGCCACCCCCACCCCCCTGAGGCTCTGTGCTGACAGGTTAGAGCCTGGAGCCTGCTTCAGATTCTGTCTCTGTCTCTTTACCCCTTCCCTGCTCATGCTTTGTCATTTTCTCTCTCAAAAATACATAAAAACAAAACAAAACAAAACTTAAGGAAACAGAGTTATGAAACAGGAGAATTCAAAATTTTTCAAGAACCAAACTGCATACTTCAATTACGAATAGTACTAGTCCTGTAAAGTCAGTCATAATTATATGAATGCTGAATGTTAATGCAACAGGAAATGATTGTGGAACACTGGGGGGATTGGAGAGGAGAGAGATGTGTAATGGGGAAGAATCAATCAAGAGCTAATGCAGAGAAGGTAATAAATCAGTATATTACACATTCAGAAAAAATGGTAATAAACCTAAGTGTCTATCTCTGGAGAAAAACATCAGAAATGAGTAGAGAAAAGGTGGAGGATTGCTGTCTTTCACTACCAGTGTACCAGTATTATTTGGGCTTTTCTTAACTGTATGTATATTTCTTTGATTAAAATTTATTTTAGGGACACCTGAGTGGCTCAGTCAGTTCAGCGTCGGTCTTGATTTCAGCTCAGGTCATGATCCCTGGGTTGTGAGATCCAGCTCCGAGTCAGGCTTCACACGGAGTGTGGAGCCTGCTTAGTTAGGAATCTCTCCCCCAAACCCCCTCCCTCTCTCTCATAAAAAATAATAATAATAATAATAAATTTTATTTTTAAAAGCTCCCCACAGGCATTTGAAATATACAACACTGGTTAAGAGCCACCATAGTGAAATGAAATTGAGGTTTTAAATCAGGCAGATCACTGTTAAAATACAAACTTCGTTTTTTGGTCTTAGGTGAGTCCATTAATCTGCCTAAAACCCAGTTTCCTTAACTATTAAATGAAGATAAAAATACCTACTTTGATAGAGGAGGACACTTGTGGGGATGAGTACTGGGTGTTATATGGAAACCAACTTGACAATAAACTTTTTTTTTTTTTAAATACCTACTTTGAAAAATCAGTCTGGGAATTAAAAATAAGCCTGACTTAGTGCTTGATGCATACACAATAAACCATATTTGTTCTAACAGAGTATCTCATTAACATGTGAATGAAACTTTAAAACTCACTCAGAATGTGGATTTTTTTCCAGTAGAGCTTCTCAGGCCTAAAGGAGATCTGTAAGATACTGAGCGGGGGGGGGGGGGGGGGGGGGGGGGGGGGGGGGGGGTTGGGAGTGCAGAGCCTCCAGAAGGATTTTTGGTGTGATTAAAGGGGTCACAGTTTGCAGAGGTCAAGATTGAAACTATTTGCTGTATTTTGCATTCCACTAATTGTGTGCAACCAACAGGTATACTCTAGGGTTGTAAAATACTTAAGTGCCCCTTTCAACACCAGGTCTGGCTTTGGGAAATTGTATTTCCTACCCTTTATTCCGTGTGTCTAGGCAAACTGTTGGTCACATCCTCATCTCTTACTATTTTACTTTCTTCTGCTTCTTGACTCTTTTTCTTCCCTCCCATCCCCTCCCCCTTCCCCTTCCTCTTCCCTTCCCTTCCCTTTTTCTTTCCCTTTTCCCCTTTTTTCTTTTGGCCTATTGTAACTCTAGCTGTGTTTTCAGGCTACACTTGTCACTTTTTTAATTTAGTTTTTCCCAGATTCCCCTGACCCTCTCAGAGTTAATTTGTTTTACTCCGTCTAAGGGCTGTGTTAATAGCAACCTAGGCCATTTTCATTGGCTGCCTCATTTTTGCCTGACTGTGCGTTAATTATCAGTTGTGGGGCTTGGTTTTTAAATATCCCAGAGACCGATTTCTATAACCTCTTCCCTTGGTTATTACATATTGCTGTGAGAGTGCAGAAACTAAAACGTTTTAATCTAAAATACCAGCTATGTAATTTGATCAGTGAACTCTGCCAAGGGACTTAGATGGTGAGCGGCACTATTCTCTGGATGTCCTAATGTCTTTGTACCAAAGAATGACTGCCATTAGCCCTGGTACAGTGAGGTACGGGGATACTCCATTCAAGTGGCTACATGAACATGCGCCTTCTTCAACCTTTTTTTCTTCAGATCAATCGCCTTTTGTTACACTAAAGAAACGAAAGTCACTTTAGCACTTACTATATATCATATCTTCCAGCTACACTGGAAACTCTGCGAGGGAAGATACTGTATCCTATCCAGTTTTACAGCCCATACAGTATCAGCAAATATAAAGTAGGAACCGAAGGAAGCCTCCATGACCTACCCTTCACAATTGCTCTTACCCTCAGTCTATATTTTTCTTCCCACGTTTATAATGTACTGAAGTTTCACAGGGGAGAAAACAAGATTTTTGCCCTGACTAAACCACTTCTTAGTCTAATGTGCAAATTTTATCTTCTTAGCATCCTTCTAGGCAACATCCGTGAAGCCAAAGACGGTCATTGCTCTATCCCTTACTCAGAGCGTTGCCTCATGTAACGTAGATAATAAGCACAGTTGAATAAATGCCAAATTAATTGTTTTTTTCTACACAGAATCATCAATGAAGGAAATAAAGATATGTTTGCCCCTGATACTAAAGTGATTCACTTTATTACCATAAACTGAGCGTTTTCAGGCCATGATGAATATTGATTGGTCCAAGGATCTATCAAGCATGAAGAAGCAAAGAGGTGGCATAATTCTCACTGATTAAAAAAAAAAAATGCACTGTGGCTGCTAAAAATGCTACGGAATGACGACTGTGTTATGTTTTAACTATAAAAGGGAAATGGTGATCACAGAAGATAGATAACTTAAAAGTTAGGGAACAAGAATTTAATTTTCTTTGTTTTTTTGTTTTTTGAGTTTTTGTTTTTGTTTGTTTTTTTGGTAGAGAGCAAAAATGCATGCAATTACTTGGCTAAAAGGGCACATCATTATCAGCATTTTTTGAGTTTCTGATACCAGGAACTATGCAAAGTTATTTACATACATGATCTCCATAATTCTCATGTATACCCTACGAGGAAGATCTTTTTATTATCATTTTTTAGATAAGGAAACTGGGATTTTAAAGAACTTAAGTGACTTTCCCAAGGTCCTAGTAATTGGCCAAGCCACAGCTGAGCCTTAAGTTTATCTCTAAAGATACTTTTGATGAGGGAGTCAATTTTTTATAATGTATAGGTAGTTCTGAATAATCCTGTTTCTTAAATTTTCAAACAAAAGTATTACCTGGGTAATAGTTGGCAATATCTTTTTTTTTTTCCAATAGTATAATTATTGAGGGCTTTATGTATTAGAATATAAACATTCAATATAATTTCATATGTAAGTTCCAGTATTTTATACTGCTGCCTGACATCATTTGGCCCGTTTGTAGAGAAGGGGATGAAGGGAAACAGAAAAAGACATTACCCCTAGAATGGAAAGGAAACACCTTTTTTCTCCCTAAGGTGTAGCGATCAGGTCATCGTGAATTTTGAAACTGTCCATCACTGCTTTGAGGAGGCCTAACCAAATTTTCTGTTAAAAGTCTTAAGAATTCTATTTTAATGGGGGCTTTTCCTGATAGAGCCTGAATAGATTTAATAGAGTCAAAAAGAAAATAGGACTTACACATGGAGATATAAAGGGGCAGGAATAGAAAACTTAGGTATTTAGGAACAAAATGACAGGGGGAGGAAAATGCCAGAAACTGAGCCTGGAAAGTAGCATGAGAAGTAGACTTGGAAGGCTTCAAGTAAGGGAACCAAGAAAGGAATCCCTGCAGTAAATAGAATTTCCACAGTAGGGTTCAGTTGAGTCACGTAAGTCTGCTTGCCTTACCATGAGTTTGGGAACTTCATTACAAGTTTAATAAGAATTCTTTAATAACCTATTGCCCAGCAAGATAGCCACCAGAACAAGTCATGAATCTTCACAGCTAAAGTTCACTTCTCCCCACCTCTCCTCCACACTAAATACAAATCTCAGCAATGCTCGTAGAACAATCAAAAGGCCAAGGACATTACTGAGTGCCTACAACAAATTATAAGAAGAAACTGTGGAATTCTTAGTAGCTTCTGTGGCAGTACATCTGAGGCCAAGCCCGCCTTCCAGTTCTGTCCTAATTAGGGCTCTGCCGCATGCGTTAGGAAAGTTTGCCCATCTTTATGGCTTTCAAATACCAAGCATGTGGATTTATTCACCGTGTGATAGTGGTGGGCATCCACGAACAAAGAGGAATGAATGTTGTTCATATATTGCGTGAAACAGACTCACTATACCTTTTCATAGGAACCAAAGGGAAGCAAAGTAAATTATCACAACCAAAAGATAAAAATCGCTAATGAAATAGTGTGCCTGGAATGCCTTTGCTCTGAAATCATGGAAAGTGGGGCCAACAAATAAAGAAACAAAAGAGGTTTAATTTGAAAAAAAGCTATTTGTTAAGAAACTACCTCAGTTTTCCAATTTATAAAAAGAAAACTTTGAGAGCCTTTCAAACTGAAGTCTAAGAGGACTATAATTCATGGGAGGCCTTAAAATTCAGAGGTCAGGTTAGGTCTATAAGAAAGGAAAAAGTAGTTTTTGTTTTGTTTTTTTTTATTTATTTCTGAGAGAGAGAGAGAGAGAGAGGCAGCGTGAGCAGGGGAGGGTCAGAGGGAGAGGGAGACACAGAATCTGAAACAGGCTCCAGGCTCCGAGCTGGCAGTCAGCACAGAGCCCGACGCGGGGCTCGAACCCACCAACCGCGAGATCATGACCTGAGCCAAAGTCAAGACGCTTAACCGACTGAACCACCCAGGCGCCCCAAAAGTAGTTATTTTTTAAACTAAGTCATTTAAACATGGTGCTAAGGAATAGAGGTACCTACTGTGTTCTAAAGCTGTATGGATGTTGGTGTTTCCCAAAAGTGTTAAAATTGAAAATAACATTTGAAAAGAGCCCATCTGTCACCTGTGATTTTTTTCCTACAAACAACCTCCGTCGATGATTTTTTTTCTGAATTGATCAAACCAATCATCTGACCGATTTTTTAAATGAAGATTTATCCTGAGAATCATCCAGCATATGGCATAGATTCCTACAAAGAGCATTAACCAATGTCACAGATGAGTGGAGTGTGGAAGAACGGGTTTTGCACATGGCCCCCTTGTTTCTGTATCTCAGTTAAGGAAGCCCCTGGTTCAGAGTGCATGAAAGTCAATCCGGAACAGCAGACAAAATACCCAAACCATCAGAAATTCAACAATGTCACCTTTGAAATCTGTATTGACCCATGTCTATTTCCATTGGCGCCTTTTCTTTCAGTAAAGTTCAAGACCATATGGCTTAAACATTAAACTGTCTTAGCTCAGGCAAGAGTCCAGGCCACGCTCTACACCAAGGGCGAGGGCTCAGGCAAAAGCCGCTTTTGGCCTTAAAAACAAGCTATTTGCAACTCTCCTGGTCTCAGGAGTGGGCAAACTAAAAAATAAATAAAACTCAGTACACTAAGACTATAAAGAGGTTTTTTTAGAGGTATCTGGCTGGCTCAGTCTGTAGAGCATGTGACTCTTGTGAATTCAAACCTCATGTTGGGTGTAGAGATTACTTAAAATAAATCTTTCAAAAAAAGTTTCTTTTGGAGGGAAGTGGCTGGCAAGAAAGCAATGGCAATCATTGAGAACAATAACTTGGTCCCAGAATAAGATATAATTCTCTCCTGATTGCATGGGTCTAGCTATAGATGTGATAGTAGTAGCTTTTCTTGGATCATGGCTAGAGTCTCTAACACAGGCTCTTTTTAATGGGAAGGGGAGGCATGGACCTTAATCTCAAATCATCTTTTTAAGAGAGAAAATGCAATACATCCGTAGTCACTAACCACTCTATAACCCAGGCCTCATGTTTTAATAGTTATTTTCTGTGCTTCTTATTGTCAGGAATAGGCCCCTGCTTATAGCTTCATCCCCCCAACTTTGCTACATAGTCCCTGTGAGGCAGTTATTGCTAAATCCCACTCATAATGGTTGCTTAAATCTTTTTTACCTTGGCCATTAAAGTTGACTGATACCAGACTGTAAATCTAAAAACTAAAACTAAATTTGCTTCCTTTCTACTACATGCAAAGCAATCTAACTTTCTTACTGAACGGGATGCACTCTAAACCAAATTATCCTCAATATCTGAATCTAAATATAGCCAACATTAGCATTTCACCTTTCCTAGAGCAAGATAATCCCAGGGACAACCATTAGGAAATTTCTTCTCTTTCCATTTTATAGAGATTTGGTTGACACACAGCATGAGATAAGCTTAAACTGTGCACCATTGTAACTTGACTTACATGTATTGCAAAATGCTTACCACAGTAAGTTAAGTTAAAATCCACTATCTTACAGAGATACCCACCCAGAGAGTGTTTTTCCTTGTGATGAGAACTTTTAGGATCCACTCTCAGCAACTTTGAAAGACGTTAAGGATCCGCTGTCTTTGCATACCATACAGCAATGTTAATCATAGTCATCATGTTATAAATTAGATCCCTAGTACACATCTTTCATATAACTGGAAGTTTGTACCTTTTGATCACTGTCTAATTCCCCCACCCCCCACCCAGGAAATTTCTTACAGTGTCCAACATAATGTGTGAAGTTGAAAAATGTAAATCTTTAGGTGGCCTGGCTGGCTCAGCCTGAACTGCATGAGACTCTTCATCTCAGGGTTGTAAGTTTGAGCCCCATGTTGGGTGTAGAGATTACCTAATAAAATCTTTTGAAAAATATGTTTTAAAAGATCTAAATCTTTATGTGGGTCTGGGTGTGCAGGGGTCCTCATCATCACGGTGACATCAGAGCACCCTACGGGACAGTTCCTGGAATAAGCGTCCACTATGCAAAACGCTTATGGTTTTACATTCGGCCCAGCATCAGACTTGACCTACTGTTCCATCAAAAGTAACGGACAACCCACTTGTTTTCAACATTGATTATCTAGTTTTTGGTTTTTGTTTGCTTCTACAATGGAAAAAAATTATGGCCAGTTAAACAAAGAAGGCTTCATTGTTGATAGTTTTAAAATATGTTTAAAATGATAATCTCTAAAAATTACTAGATATCAGACTTGTATTCAAAATCGCAATATCAATAGCAAGCACAGTTTTGCCACCTGCTGGCCTTAAGATTAGATACATTTTCAGGTACTTTGATTTCATTTCAATTATCGTATTAGAAAAGTCAACCTAGCACTATAGAGACACACAAACATGTTTAAAGTTTATAAAATACACAATAGTCTCTTGTAAGCTTTCTTTTCTTATCCCCGGCGTGTGAGTTGTTTGTGTTTGTCGTCTTTGACAAGATACACGAGTGTTCATGTAATCAGTCCTTACACACAGACACACATCCCACTCAAACTCGGTGCATCCCACACAAACTCAGTGTCTAAGTGGGATACACACAGACACACATTCCACACAAACTCGGTGTCTAAGTGTGATTTTAATCCTTATATAGTAGACGTAAAGGCATTATTCCACACTTACGGATAATTATTCAATTTCTTTTCATAGATTAAGTCGATTTTTTTCTCTTATCCAACAAATGTAGCGTCTATTCTAGCTTGGATTCATAATGACAGTCTGTTCCTTTGTTTTAAAAGTTATGTCTGATGTTACGGGATTATGCGTTTCTGGCATTGTTATTCCTTTATTTTTAACTTAGTATTGTACAAATATTCCACCTACTTCAACTTGGAAAGGATCTTCTTTTCTAAATAATCATTTTTTCCCTCACATATGAATGTAATCAATATTTGTTAGCATGTATAAAATTAATACATGTTGCATTATATATTTTATATTCATATTGTCTCAAGTATTTTCTTGTAACTAGCAAGTGTCATAATGACAACGATGCTTGCTTATTAAGTTTATAGGTCATTCTAGGGAAAGTTTGTGATGTTTAGTAGTATCTAACAGAATCCAGTGAGAAAAACAAAAGTTGAAATGGATCTTCAATGGTCTTCATTAATTCTCTTGGGATATAGAATTTTCTGGAAGTCTAGGAAGCTAAAGCCTTCACCATTTTCGGGTGGCAATTGAGATGCCACAGGAGTCCTGAAGCAGTTTGTCTCAGCTTGCTGTTTCCCCAAATTAGGATAAATGAGTGGCCTGAAGGAAAAAGAGCCGACATTAATATGACAACCAAATTGGCGTGATGTTTCTGCAGTAAAATGAAAGTCCAACCTGTTAATTGGATGGAAAAAAAGTGAACCGTGGAGAGGAGGAGGAAAGATATCACCATTTTCATGGCCTTTTTATGGGCCTCTGTGCTGAAGTCCTTAGAGCTGGAGTTCAGTTGCACATTCCTGGTATGTCTCATCAAGGAGAGAAATAAAAGGAGCAGTGAGGTCAAGGACAGAAGGAAGGGGATTAAGTAGATGAAACTGAGCATAATTAAGCTGTTAATATACAGAGTTTTACTTATATCTAGGGGCCAAGTTGAGTTTCTTTCATAGTTTTGATAGACGACAACCCAGAGATCAGTAAATCCATTCAAAAATTTAAAGTTGAAAAACAGTAGGGATAAAGACCCCAGGGGAAGGACAAGCAGCACCCTGCTCAGTCTCCGCCTCAGCCAGGTGAAACAGCGGTGCGAGAAACTGGCTATCTTAAAGAAGTAGAAAACACTCAGGCAGGTGGCAAACCAAGTAGCTAGGTGATTGGTCAGTGTCCAAAGAACACTAACAGCTTTTGCCAGTTTATCAGTGTTATATAGATGTTGCCAAAACACCATTAGAGATGAATCGAATAGTATTATCCAAAGAAGAATGATTCTGGAGACAGCCAGGCTGGTGAGGAGGCAGTCAGCTGGCGAGAGCATTTGATTCTTCACCCAGTCCATGCAGTTAACTAGTACGATGAAACCATTCCCCAGTATTCCAATTATGAATTCTCCTACTACTGCTATCAGAAAAGTATTTTCGAGCCCGGATGGCATTTCTGTAGAAAGAATCCAGGAAGCTGGCCCTATGTGTCACTGATCTTTTTTTTCTTCCGTCAAACGTTGTAGAGTGAAATCCAGCTTGATACTTCTCCCTTCGATATTAAAAATGCTCAAATACTATCTCACTGATCTTCACAAAAGATCTTTCTCTGTTATTCCAACTGTAAGTCTGAAGTATGCACAAGGAGATCCGGTCTCACAGACCTACGTGAAAAACTTTAATGTAACTTCTAATCAGCTACTGATTTCCAAATTAAACAGCAAACAGTCCCACTCATCACTGACACTGACAGCAGTGTTCCGCTTGTGAGGACATCTGGAAGAGTAAAGTCAAATATGGGAACATGCAAATACGAGACCGATTTCTTTACACTGATTTGCACTTTCCTTTTCATCTGAAGATACCATTCAGGCTAGGTGGTGCAGTCAGCGAAGCATTGGACTCTTGATCTTGACCCAGGTTATGATCTCACAGTTCATGAGATTGAGCCCAGCCCGGGGCTCTGGGCTGACAGCGTGGAGGCTGCTATAAATAAATAAATAAATAAATAAATAAATAAATAAATAATACCATTTGGTATTTCTCTCTCCTCTAAATAATAAATAAGTAAATAAATAAATAAGAAATACCATTTGGATTCAGGTTTCTTATTTTTAATAGAATTCTCTAGAAAGAATCTTCACAATACAGGCATTATTCATTAATTCCACTTAATTTCAGATACTATTATAGATGTGGTAAGCGTAATAGAGAGAAGCAACCTCAAGGAGCTCACAGGGTATTAGAAAACGCAACGTCAACTACACTGTTAACCATTGAATGTGACAAAAGTTTGGCCAAAATGTAACTTGCCACACAGAGAGGTGTGCTACAAAATCAATAGCCACTAGTTCTAGTTTCATAAGGATAGTGATAACTGGCTTGGATCTTGAAAGTTTTTAGGATTTCCTGGAGAAATATATACAAAGGGAAATGATTTTCCAGGATGACATAAAACCATATGCAAAGGTACCAAACTCAGACCTATTTGAGCTATTACTCTGAATTTTTGAGCTTTGTTCTCAATCAGAATCAGTTTGATTCTGAATAAGCTCTTGTCAGCTGAGAGAGGAAAAATAGTAAGAAAAAAATAGGGTAGAAAAAAAAGGAGAAGTGGAGGAGTGGGAAGGAAGTTCTTTTCATTAATCCTGCTTTTGGTAAAATCTATGGTCTCATAAAAAGTTACAGTCAAATATATTTTAGTTTGGTTTTTGTTTCAACAAACATGTGACTTTAATACAATCATCTTTCAACCTCGATTGCAAGATTATCTCTCCTATGGAGAGAACTTTAGGTACATACATGCGTGTTACATTATATTGAGAATTAATATATATTAATGCCTGTGAGCCAACCCCAGGGAATCTTACTTAATTGGTCTAGGATATATTGTTGGCCCTCATTGGGAACTGACTCCTCCTTCTACGCTTTAAAGGACCTTCTAAGCCCAGGCAAAAATCTTTGTACCCGCGAGCTGCAAATCTATGAAGATTCCCAAGGAACAAGACAGGAATTTTGCCCACTAGCCCTCTGACACTGCATTCCCCATTCGGCCAATTTTGACTCTGGTTACAATTACCTGTTTTGTGTTGGCCTCAGACTACCGGTAGCGCTACTGTAGATTTACCAATGCCTGAGCATTCAGAGGCCACATTGGAAGTCACAGGGGACCCAGGGGAGCACAGACCTGGTGTTCTGTTTTTACTGGCATTGAGAGTGGGAGCCTAGGATTTCACAGGCTCATTCTTTACTGGGGAATTTAAAACATAACAGTGGGAATGAGGGCTCGGGAAGGGAAAAGTGGAATCACTGAAGCAGTCAGTTACCTAGGTTACTCAGAGCTTCCCTAAAAGGGGAACTTCATGGATGAAAGTGGCTTAGCTTCTTATCCGGGTGTGTTACTAGTAGCTGTGTCTGGGGCTGGCAATGTGTTCAAGATGGATGTCTTTGAAATGGTTATCCTGGCAACCAAACATGTCAGGCGTGTACACTACATAACCTTAGCTACCAAGTACCTCTACAATCACATTAAGCTCCATGAGAGAAGGGGCTATTTTGTTGTCCATGGATCTATTTCCAGTTCCTGGAACAGGGAAGGGCTGGCAAACAGTAAACCCTCAGTAGCGATTGGTTAAATGAATGAATACTGACTTAGTTGGTAATCCTATCGGGAGCACAGAAAAAGAAACCAATAAATACGGCTTGGCTGTGCAACTGCTATAAGAACGAGAAAAGAAAGCAACTCTTTAAAATTAGAGAAAATTCTGTGACATATGTATGAATTCATGCACAATTTTGGTCCTGACCTGGAAATAACTAACACTGCTCTCCAGCCTTCCTGGTTCAAAACCAGAAGTCACACGGACTCATAAAAGCTCGCAGGTGTAGCATCCAGCAGGTGGGGGCTTTTTCACTTTTCTTCGTGAAAGAGAAGTACCTCCAGGCAAGGGAGCTGGAGATGGTTAGAAAACTCTATCTTTTGGTGTTTTTTTTTTAATTTTAGTTTTTTTAATTTTTAGAGAGAGCAAGAGCAGGCACAACCTGTGGAAAGGAACCGAGGGAGAGAGAGAAAGAAAGAGAGAGAGAATCCCAGGCAGGCTCCATGTTCAGCACGGAGCCAGGCACAAGGCTCCATCACATGACCCTGGGATCATGACCTGAGCCAAAATCAAGAGTCAGATGCTCAAACGGCTGAGCCACCCAGGTGCTTCCAAAACTCTGTATTTTGTGGCAGGAAACCAAGAAGGCCCTAGAGATCACAGATATTTCCAGAAATGTTCTGACAGGGTATAGAAAGCTATCTGATACAAAGGCTCCATTGGTAGGTGTGGTTTAGCAGTAACAAAAAACACACAGCAACAAGTCAGCCAACAGATGCTTAAGTTCATAGTTACACTGACTGCTTGAGTTCATAGTTACACTGAAGAAGAAATTCGATCTAAAGAATATAATAACAAGTATAAAAATTACAAGTGCTATATGCTATAAGTTGGATTTGGAGTCTAAGCTTATAATCACGTTTTTAAAAATCTGCATAACTACAAGTCTGTCTCAGCTCCTAGGTTGAACTGCCTTTAGATTTTTCAATCTTAAAATGATCATGTTATACTTGATAAAGAAAAAGCATTATTGCATGTTTAAACATAAAGTGTATTATTACAAAATGCTCAGGCAGATAACAATTAAATTTACGTGTATTCTACAGCGACAATCCACAGTAGTCTGAACTTCCGATGATGACTAATTTAAACCCCAAAACTCATGAACACTTCTTTTATAGTTATTGGTTGAAAAAGCGACATTTCTTCTAAGGAATAGTGAGAAAATACATTCAGAAGTCTATATTGGCCTATTTCAAACAAATTGCTGACCTCTGGAGTGATAGAGAATAGTACTTATATAGTGATGAACTACTGCTTATGTGGATTTAAATAAGATGATTCAATATTCTCATGAATATTGTTATGAGCTCCTATAATTAATACCACCTTTTGCGGGGGTTTGAGTTCTTCCTGTTTCCTTCCTGTGTCTGTGACACCCCCCGTGGAAAAACATATCTGAGCTTACTATTTGACTCTTTCTCTTGCCTTTCCCTCCCCAAGCCCAAGTGTTTAGATCTTCTGACAGTCTCAGGAGATCTTTGTCTAACTGATGCTTTCTCTGATCCTATCAAGAGTAAGCTTTTCCATTTATTTGCAAACACAGAAATAGCCTTCCTAGTTCTTTTTGAATTGCAACGTGGAACTTTCCAGCACAGAACTTGATAGTCACTGCATTAAATGCATTAATGTATTAAAGTACTGGCCTTTGTGGATTGTGTGTGTGTGTGTGTGTGTGTGTGTGTGTGTGTGTGTTTAAGTAAAAGAGAACTTCAGTGTTTCTTTGGCTGGACCCTAGTTGAGGAAGCAGCTAGCTGGGGTGAGGTCCACAGCCTGAAGGGAGAAAGATTTCATCTTTCACAAATGGAGACTATTTGCCTGGCTTAATCATTGCTTTCCATGAAAATTCTTTCATGTTTCATCATAGATTTTTGTTTCACTTAGCATATTCTTTCAGTTTTCAAAACTGAAGACCACAGGTTTTTTTTTTTTCCCCTCAAAATCCTTCGGGGGCCAACATCCTCATTGGCTTTTCTTCATGACAAACCTAAGAAAGGGCCAGTCTAACTAATACCAAACTCCCATTAGCAAACATTAGTCTCATGCTCAAAATAAGAATGATTGGGTATTTCCACAGGCTGCATTTATATTGATGGAAAAAAACAATAAAATTTGAAAAGCTGTACTCTATGATAAGTGTACAAGGAGACAAAAAAAAAGTTTGCCTATATGTGTTTTTTTCGAATTCTTCAAACATTTCAAATCAATTTGTTCTTGTGAAGATTGGTCTGAAGGTCCCGGATAGGACATGGAGTACTCTAGACAACATATCCGGGGTCTCAAATGACAGAATTGGGAAGGACTCTACGATGATACAAATGTCCCTTAAAGGTATCCCTAGCTCAGAGATGGGATTTAATCAAGATCTTGTTAGGAGAAGTCACCTACTGGCAGATATCAGACAAACCTCCTGAGACATTGAGGAACTTTGCATCCCTTTCTCAGAGGTCAGTAGAGGTATGGGTTGATATACGACAATTCACTCACCAGGGTTCAAGAAAAATGTTTTGCTGTGCTTGATTTCCACCTTACCAGTTGCTTCCTGTAGTAGACCTTAAAGATCAAAGATATGACTATTTAAACAGTAAAAACAAGTTATTTGCTCCTCTCCTATATATCACCTGGTCAGCAAATTGAAATAAACCATCATTTACACCAGTTTCTTTAACTGAACATTTATTTGGTAGGTGAGAAAGATAGTTAACAAGAAATCGTGGCAATCTCCATCTTCCCCAACACTTTGGTTCCCGGGATAGGATATGATTATGGATATTTCTTCTCTGGGTGGATGGGACTGGCGATGCGTGTGTTGGGAATGGCTCTTCTTGGATTGTGACTCGTCTGCTGCTGAGTCCCCCACGAAGTCTCTTGTTATGGGGAAAGTAGAGGTGGAGAGCTTGATCTCTCTTGCTATTCAGATACAGTCTACAGAGCATCAGTTGCAGTGACCCCAGCCTGTGACCTTGTCTTCTTTTACTTGTCCTTTGCTTTGTCAAGAATAGGGCCCTATTCCTTGTAGTTCCATCTCCCTAAGTTTGCTGCATTGTGGACTCCCTTTTAGTTAAACATTTCCTCATTTACCCCTAAGGCCTACTTATTAGAAACAAGAGTTGCTAAAAAGTTAGCTCAATCACTTTATCTTGCATACTAAAGAAAAGTTTAATAACACTAAAAACTAAATAACATTTTTGGTTACCATCGTATAAATAGGACCAGATTGTCTCTAAGTCATTTATATGAAAGGATGTCTAAAACAAAACAAATTCAATGCCTGAATCTAAATGTACTCAACTTGATTTGCATATTTCCTGTTACCAAGGTCAGATAATTACAGTGACAGTCTTGGACAAAATACTAAGTTAGGGGCCAAATAAATATATTTTCTTTTGTGAAATGTAAATTACTCACAGTTACTTAGGAAAAATGGTAAAATATAATGTATTGTTAAAACCGTTATCCACATCATTATGGTTATTAATACATGGAAGCACCACAGAACCTAGATGTGTTAGTGGTTTAGTTTTCTAAATACGGCGAGGAAGGATGAGGAGGAATATTAATAATTCCTACACCATTCCCAGGTCCAGGGAACAGCTCTGGAACAATACCCGTACCAACAGTTCCATCGAGATGAATTTACAACCCACAAATTTATCATCATTTAATTACAATGCTTTGTTTCTTTAACACAATCTAAAGAATACATCAAAAGTAAACCTTAAGAAATAATTCTTCATTTTTTAAAAAAAGTATATTTAGTTTGAGAGAAAGGGGTGTAGGAGGGGCAGAGAGAGAGGGAGAGAGAATCCCAGGCGGCTCCACACCCAGCACAGAGCCCGATGGGGGCCCCATCTCATGGCTGAGAGATCATGACCTGAGACTAAACCAAGAGTCAGACACTTAACTGACTGAGCCAGCCAGGTGTCCCAAGAATTCTTCATTTTTAAAGAATTCCCTTATGTATACCTGCACAGCATGTGTATAATATTATAATCTATAACATCATATTCAAAATATTATGGTAAAATTTTCTACCCTTAACCTTATTTATAATTTGTAGTTGCTTTATCTAAATTTAGATTATAGTCAAAATAGCACTTAAAAGTTAAGATTAGCATTATAAGCATGTGTTTCCAGTTTATTTTATTTTGCACTATGAATATTATTTTCAAATAACTCATTCCCATGTTATCAACAAGACTTCTAATGACAACAATGAAAAGCTTTTTCATTAAAAAAGAAAAAATTAAGCCATTACACTATGAGGTCATGTTTTTTTCCCATCTGTGACTTTAGTTGCTCAATTAACTTTTCTATCAACGTTTTAGAGATTGTCTACTAGTGGATAGTAATTTATCTTGATTTCTACAGCATGATATGCTTCTGGCATGTGAGATGAGTTACAATCACATCAATCTTTTGCATATACGATTAAATACTTTAGATTCTCTTTGAAAGACTATTTGAGACTTTTAAATATTGGCAACCACCATTTTAAACAAAAGGGATTACTTTGGGGGGCCTGGCTGGCTCAGTCAGTTGAGTGTCTGACTTCGGCTCAGGTCATGATCTCGCGGTTCGTGGGTTCGAGCCCCGCGTCGGGCTCTGTGCTGACAGCTCAGAGCCTGGAGCCTGCTTCAGATTCTGTGTCTCCCTCTCTCTCTGACCGTCCCCTGCTCGCGCTGCCTCTCTCTCTCTCTCTCTCTCTCTCTCTCTCTCTCAGAAGTAAATAAAAAACATTAAAAACTTCTTAAACAAAAGCGAATACTTTAAAACTTATATTGGCTGACCATGGGTCCATTATCACCAAAAGCAACTTTCTCTAGGGAAAATTTCATTAATGTTCGACAACACTTAAAGGAACCCTGTGGGAGAGGAGGGGAAGGAAGAAGTAGAAGTGAAATTGATCCTCAAAGTCTCCTTGTTAAGCCATTATCTTTAGAAAGACTCTGGAAAGTCTATCCGACACGATGAACTGATGTTCTCTTTTCAAGGTTCTTTTAAGATGCCGCAGTACCTTCAGGGCTGTCTGTCTCAGTTTGCTGCTTCCCAGAATCAAAATTAACGAGTGGCCTGAGGGAAAGACATATGTGGCCAACATGATAAACTTTGTGAACCTGTTGTTCGAAAATATAAAAAGCATCCAATTTGTCAATAGGATGGAAAAAAAATGAACTGTGAAGAGAAGGAGGAACAATATCACCATTTTAATGGCCTTCTTATGGGCCCGCGTGCTGGGATCGCTGGAGTACATGGAGTTGAGCTGCAAGTTCCTGATGTGTCTTACCAAGGACAGAAATAAAAGGACCAGTGCAATCAGGGACAGGACAATAGGAATGGTATACGAAAAACTAAGAAGAATCAGGGTTTTAAAATAAAAGGATTTACTTTCATTTATATATAAAGTCAGATTACTTTCATCCATCACATGGACTTTTAAGTAGAAATCATTAAATGATTCTAGCAGTAGGAAGTCAAACATTAGAAAGAACAAAGAAAATCCAAGAATTGCAAGAACCACTCTGTTCATTCTCCACTTCAGCCAGAGGAAAAGGGAGTGGGAGAAGTGAGCTATTTTAAGAAGGTAGAAAACACTTAGGCAGGTGGTAAACCAGACAGTGAAGTGATTAGTCATTCTCCATAGCAAAGTAATAAATTTTGCTAGTTTCCACGTGAAATAGAAAGGTACAGATAGTACCATTACAAATGACTGAAAGAAGGACACCAGCAGCTGAATGATTCTGGAGATAGCCAAGCAGGTGAGGATGAAGTCAACTAAAGACATGTTTTGGTTCTTGATCCATTCAGAGCAGTTTACCAGTCCAATGAATGCATTTCCCAACATTCCAATTGTGAATTCTGCTGTTGACAGTATCAGAAAGATTTCATCCCATCTGGCTAACATTTCCACAGGAAAAAAATCCAAATTTCTAATGCCCTGTCTCATTAATAAATTCGTAACCAGACTAGTTCAGAATAGCATCCATTGCTGATAGTTACCTTCACTGTTTGTATTCGCAATTCCAGTGCTGACCAGAGCCTGCTGCTGTTGGATACAGTCTCATATATACATTTAAGGAAATCTTTCGGCTTTGTTGTAATGCCGATCTTAATCCAGAACGATCTGCTAAGGTGTGCCATCTCCCATACTTTCATGAAGATGTTTTTGTTTATTCGAAAGCGATACTAATTTCCAAACCAAACCATTTGTGTTTCTATTTATAATTGGCGAAGATTCAAATTTTCCACTTGAGGTGATGATTCAAAGGTTGAAGTCAAATTTGTTAGATGCAAATATGGGTCAGATTCTTTTTCACTGATTTGTGAAAAAAATTACCTCATCTGAAATACTATGCCACTTGGATCCAAATATTTTAGTTGTTTTTCATAGGAAGCTTTGAAATAATCTAGCAGTCTAAATCTAAATAATCGGTTCTAAAATTTAGTTGTAATTCAATGAATATATCTTGAGTGCCTGGTGGGTGACTGAGTCATTTCCAAAGGTAATATTAAAAAAAAAAAAAAGTGCTATTAAAAAAGAAAGAGCATTAGAAAATCCATAAAATAGTGAAGGCACAAAAATAAATAATAAGTAAGACTAAAATGTAATGGGAACACACAAAAAGATAACAATTATTACTGCTGGGGAAAGAGAAAAAAGTGGCATTTGCCTTGGGTTTTATAGATAATTGGGATTCCAGGAGGGAACTAAGTTATATTTTGGATTTACCAAGCAATATACGAAAAGACAACAAAACCCAAATTACTTTTCTGACATTGATGTCTTCTCACTGATAATTTCCCATAATTACAATGTTCTTCAGGTGCCTCTGAGTAACAAATATATTCCCCAGTTTTGCTCTTTATTTTTGTACTTGCTCTATTTGTTTTGGCCAGAGACATAATGCTGTCCATTTAGCCTTTATGGACAGAAATTAGGTAAAAAATCATTTCAGATTAAATAAGGAAATCATAAACAAATGTATCTGTTCTATATTCTAGGAACAATGATTTTGACACAAGCCATTAACATACCAGAAATGAACTCAGAGTTACAGCTTTTGTGTCTATATATTAAGTGTTCAGGCGTTGCCAGACCACATTCAAAATAATGAATGAAATTTTAAAAAGTGAAAAGCAAAAAATAAAATAAAATAAAACACTTGGTCCTTGACCCTTTTCAATGATACTGTCACACTCGTGAATTAAATTCTATTGATTTTGTTAAGTGTATATTTCAAGAACAATGTGGTACAATGAACTATTGGTAAACTATTTTGTATGACAAAATTTTTAATTTAGGACAAATATTTAAAACTATAGGGAGAAAGAAAAAAGAAAGAAAAGAAGAGAAGAAAGAGAAAAGAAAAAAGGAAGGAAGGAAGGGAAAGAGGGAGGGGGAGAAAGGAAAAAGAGAAGGAAGAAAGGAATTTATTGGATAGAGCAAGGCTGAAGGAAAGTAACGAAATTTGGTAGTAGTATTTTGGAGAGGAGAATGATAGCCTTGACTAAGATTAATGTCTAGAAATGGAAAGAACTTGATGACTATGAGAAGCATTTAGGAGGTAGGATCAGCAAGTCTTGGGGATGGATTTGGGGCTATAAAAAGGAAGAGAAGCCGGCACCTTCAGGATTCTTCTTTTGCACCTGGGGTGCATGGAATTTGGGGACCTAAAGGAATCCGTGGAGGGAGAGCAGCTTTAAAAGCAAGGGGTGGGCAGGGACGCCTGGGTGGCTCAGTCGGTAAAGGGGCCAACGTGGCTCAGGTCATGACCTCCCGGTTCCATGAGGTTGGAACCCCACATCCAGCTCTCTGCAGTCAGCGCGGAGCCACCCTCCTCCGCATCTCCCTCTTTCTCTGCCTCTCCTTTGCTCCTGCTCTCTCTTTCTCAAAAATAAACATTAAAAACAAACAAACCCACATAGTAGCCGTGGGTGGGAGACCCGAGAAAAGTTGGAGGCCGGTGAGTTCTGTTTTGAACACTTTTGGAGTATCGGTGGCTCATCCAAGTGGAAAGATGGGGTAAGCACTTGGGTATTTGTGACTAGAGCTCCGAAAAGAAAGTGAGACTATAAACAGAGATTTGGGAGTCATCAGCACACACTCGATTCCATAAAAGGTGATGGACGAGCTCCAAGACGCTGAGGAGCACCAGAGGATAAAGAAATCAAAGACAGAAAGCAATCAGGCAGAGAAGGGAAACCAAGAGGCTACAGGATTCAAAGCAACCAAGAGCAAGGAGTGTTACAAAGAAAGAGTAGCCAATTCTTCCTAATACTACCCTTCTTTTGTAAGGAGGTAGCAAGGCGACCCTTAGTTACTATAGAAAGAATAGTTCAGCTGAATAGAAACCAAACTGCTGTGTCTATGAGATCCCAAAAATGAAGCATTAGAAACCCTATACTTCTACGCTTCTATATAGAAGTATACCCATTAATAATGTGATCAATACATTAATAGACTAAAGGAGAAACATGAGGGGGGAGTGGATTTTAACATAAATCTGCATTTATTCATAACACATGTTCTTAGCAAACTAGGGATAGAATGCAATATTCTTCTTCCTGGTAAAAAGCTGTGTCCAGAAACCTAGAGAAAACATTGTACCCATGGATACATTGAAATCACTCCCCCTGACTTTGGGACCAAATGAGCTAAAAACCTCTCCCTATATATTTTTTTTTTTTTTTGCAGTTTTCACCAATCACAGTAAGGCAATAAAACGACATAAAAGATATAACATTGTAAAGCACAAAACAAAGCTGACCTTATTGACAGATGATGATTGAGATTACACAGACTATTCAAAAGGATTTTTCAATACATTGTTAAAATATCCATTTATAAGGTTTCTGGACACATAATATATGTGCAAATATCTGTTCCATCTCTTCATACCATCAGCAAACAGTTAAAATGAACACTCTCTTAAAAGATAAATTTCCTGGGGCGCCTGGGTGGCTTAGTCGGTTAAGCGTCCAACTTCAGCTCAGGTCATGATCTCACAGTTCATGGGTTCGAGCCCTGCTTCGGGCTCTGTGCTGACAGCCACCTCAGAGCCTGGAGCCTGTTTCGGATTCTGTATCTCCCTCTCTCTCTGACCCTCCCCTGCTCACGCTGTCTCTCTCTCTCTCAAAAATAAATAAAACACTTAAAAAACTTTTTGTAAAAAGAAAGATAAGTCTCCATAACCTCAACATACAAGTATCTAAGACGAAATCACACACATAAAACATATGCAACGCCTTTGTGGATAATGTTAAAAAGTCTGAAATGGCTGTAGCATTCTTTTAGCCAGTATGTATTCATTACACACTAGATGTAATCGAGGACTTAGACTTTGCTTTTTTAAATTTAAACCATTATTACACACATTTTCCCACTTTAGGTATACATCCAAGGACTTCAAGTCTCTGACTTAGTTGTTGAGTATATTAAAATTTCCTGCTTCATATCTAGGACATGAATTTGTCTCAAGTTGAGAAGCAACCACTTCTGATATAGTACTGCCCTCCCTATCTCACGGATAATCACCTCCTCTCTTTTCACCTAATCCAGTCCCTTATTTTGGGAGTTTTTTTTTTTAACCATGCCATACATAGGCTGCAGGTTTCCATGTGATGCAATAAGAAATGAGATCACCTCTTGTTTGCTAATGTGCAAATGCAGGCTGATGTCCTGTCATTCTTTTTTGCATTTTCTTTGCCTGACAAATTTATATCTGTATCTTTAGCTATGGAAGATAATCTAAAGCTATTTATAGTTATCAAAACTTGGTTAGGAAAACAAAAAGTAAAGCAGATGCTAGACTATACTATAGAATTTTCTTCTAGAGTACCTTAGTATTCATTGAAAGTACTTCGATTGAGAGACGCCTAGGTGGTTCGATCAGTCAAGTGCCTGACTTTTGATCTCAGTTCAGGTCATGATTTCACGGTTCGTGAGTTCAAGCCCTGCATTGAGCTCTGTGTTGGCAGCGGGGAGCCTACTTGGGATTTTCTCTATCCCTCTCACTATGTCCCTGCCCCACTTGTACTTTCTCTTTCTCTCTCAAAGTAAGTAAATAATCTTTAAAAAGCAAATAAATTACTTGGATCTAAATAATAGGTATAAGTTGGGGAGCCCGGGTGGCTCAATCAGTTGAGCACTCGACTTCGGCTCAGGTCATGATCTCATGGTTTGTGGGTTGGAGCCCTATGTCAGGATCTGTGCTGACATCTCAGAGCCTGGAGCCTGCTTCAGATTCCGTGTCTCCCTCTCTCTCTGCAGCTCCCCTGCTCATGCTCATGCTTTGTCTCTCTAAAGAATGAACAAACATTAAAAAAATTTTTAAATAATGGGTATAAGTTGATTTTATAAAATTAACTAAAATGAATTGTGTGCATGTTGTATGACTCAGTCCCCCAGAAACAAATGTTGGATTTATTAAATATGGTTACTAGAGCCAATAGTAATTATGCCATAGAGAAAGGGATCTTAGAGAAAAGTTGGCTTGCCTTCCATGAACAGAAGCAGATGGAGGTGTGAAGAGCTCTCTTCGCTGAATGTAACACAGTTGGTGTTCAAAAGGACTTTTTTTTCCATTAGAATGAAATGGTGATATTTAGCCCTACTTTTATGGCTGTCCCAGAGATTTAAAAGATATGGATCCAAAATACATCAGACATAGTTGGTATGGAGCCAGTTTACACTATGTCACCTTTAGACTGTGTCTACTCCATGCATGACCCTCAGATCTGGTTGTCAGGAGATGGGCTGCTGGATTATTGGGTGATCGGTGCCATTTTGATCCTTTCTTTCTGTCCCAAGTGCCCAATATACCAATATATGAGGTCCTTTTCAATGTTCACGGTGTTAAGAATGATCATTGTGAACACAGGATGGGATTATCAAAATAGGCTGTA